AAACTTGAATCAAAAAAGGGTACAAAAATGATTTATATAATGAAAGTAGATGTCTTTTTTAGAGTCACTGACTTCGAAACCAATAATTTTGCCTCTAAATCTGACTCGAAATCAGCGACCCTGAAATAATCATAATATAGTTTCAAATTGAAGACTCAACCATTTTTCTTTTTTCCTTTTTGCTTTTAAATTATAAATTATTGGCAAGGAAGAAATTAATTTGAAGCAAACGGACACACCAAAGTGTCGCAGATTTTATTTTAATATACACGCACATTCGTTAAGACGTGTTTTTAAGATAAAGTTGTATATGCTTTAGGAAGAAGAAAATCACAGTCGGAAACATATGTCGACATTAAAAGTCAGTGAGCTTTCCTTGCACGCGTATATATAGTTTGACTGTCAGATAGCGTTGTCAGATAAATATTTCATTCTCAATCCTAGGTAATGGTTAATGTCATTCTAATTATTTCTTGAAAGTAGCCTGCTAATGTAAATTTCGAGAATAAATCGATAAAACTATATGTTTATGAATTATTCATTTCAAGAATATAAAGACATGTGAAGAATGTCTATAAGTTCTATATATATGTATATACCAATCGCGAGTAGCGAAAACATTAAAAATAGAAGTTTGCAAATATATATTATTTATGACTCCTTCATTAATCACGTTCCGTTTGACAAAAAAAAAAAGAATCAAAAAGCATTATTATTATACTCAAAAAAAATAGCTGGTTAAAATAACTCGAATTCTAGTTAGTTTATAATAAATAAATACAAATAGCTTGGAACCAAATTATTACCTGAAAACATAACTGAGTATAACAAATAAACTTGCAACCATATAGTTAACTTGGAACCGAATTTTACTTGGATACAAATTTGTATTCTTTATAAGATTAACTTGAAGCCAAAATAACTTGGAACCAAAATTAACTTGGAACCGAAATTAACTTTGAACCAAAATTAACTTGAAGCCTCAATAACTTGGAACCAAAATTAACTTGGAACCGAAGTTAACTTGACTCCAAATTTTACTTGAAACCAAAATTAATTTAGACTCACAATTAACTTGGAACCAAAATTAACTTGGTACTAAAATTAACTTGCAACCTAAATTAACTTTGAATCAAAATTAACTTAAATCCTACTAGCCACAATAACTTGGAACCAAAATTAACTTGAAACCAATTAACTTGGAACCGAAGTTAACTTGAAACCAAATTTTACTTGGATCTAAAATTAACTTGGAGCCTAAACTAATTTGAAACTAAATTAACTTGAAAACCAAAATTAACATTAGAACCGAAATTAAGTTTGAACCAAAATTAACTTGAAACCAATTAACTTAGAATTGAAATTAACTTGACACCAAATTTTACTTGGCTCGAAAATTAACTTGGAACCGAAGTTAACTTGAAATCAAATTTTACTTTTTGATCAAAAATTAATCTGGACCTGAAATTTACTTGGAACCGATTTTTAATTGGATTTTTTTGAACCGAATTTAATTTTGATTTGATAAAAAGTTAATTTGTAACGAAATTAACTTGAAATTGAAATTTACTTGGATTTAAAATTAACATGGAACCAAAACTAATTTGGTTACCACTTTAATTTGGAAGCAATGTTAACTTGAAAACAGAAGTAACTTGGAGCCAAATTTTATGTTGTTTGATAATTAACTTGTAGCAAAAATTAATTTGGAAAAGAAAACTTGGAACCGAAATAAACTTAGAACAAAATCAATTTGGTACGAAATTAACTTGGAACGAAAGTTAACTTATTTCTAAAATTATTTTGAAAACAAAATATTTTTTTCAAAATCTGATCATTTGAACTTATTTCAAATTCGTATTTTTTTGTCGAAAAACTAGAAACGCATATTGCTAAAAATAATAATCGATCATAAAAATGGTTGTAATGAACAGATAGGACAGTTAATCGAGAGATATGGATTTTATCGAGATAATGCTTATCTTTATAGAGAAGAGAGAAGAGCGAAATGAGTGTAAGAGAGACAGGGGGATAAAAAGAGAGTAAGAGAGGGGGAGAAAGAGAGATAGAAAAAATTGTCTGATTTCTCCAGAGAATTAAAAGTATATACGCAGGACTTATTAGATTATTAAAAGATCTGGTTATAAAGTAATATATATATAGCGAAACATTAGGATAGACAAGCCTGCTGATTTTCAAATGCAACGCAGCTTATAAATTATGCGACTCATTATTCATACTTTAACCACCATAATTATGCGCAGGATCGTTGACAAGATCCTGTGTGTCTTTCTCTAAAGGCCTCGTTGTTTTCCTTATAGAACCTTTATCTCGTTTATATCATGAAAATATACATGACGCAATATTCCGTATTTATTTAAGAATATAAAACATTTTCAGTATAATTTATACTTCAATATATTTTCTCAATGATTAATTATAATGAAAATAATTGCAATTAATGTACAACGATAACGAAACGTTCTCAGTTTCAACAATATATTTTATGTATATTTATGTACATTTTTAACCGAATTTTTATTTTACTCAAATTTTAATTAATTGAATTTTTTGATAAGCTGTGTTTTCAAAAGAGGTGAATTTTCAATTATGTGAAACTTCAATTGAGTGCATTTTAAAATTACTGGATTTATAATTACCTATCTTGGGAACAACATTAATTTGAAACTAAAATAACTTGAATAAAAATTTTATTTTGAATCAAACTTAACTTAAAACCAAACTAACTTGGAAACAAAATTAACTTGGAAACAAATTTGACTTTGAACCAAAATTAACTTGGAACCAAAATTAATTGGGAACCGAATTTTACTTGGAACCAAAGTTAACTTGAAACCAAAATTAATTTGCAATCAAACTTAACTTGGAACCAAAATTAACTTGGGACCGAAATTAACTTAGAACCAAAATTAATTGAGAACCAAAGTTAACATGGAACCAAAATCAACTTGGAATTAAAGTCAATTTGAAAACAAAAGTTAACTTGAAACCAAAATTAACTTGGAACCAAAGTTAACTTGAAACCAATATTAACTTGGAACAAAAGTTAACTTGAAACCAAAATTAACTTGGAACCAAAGTTAACTTGAAACCAAAATTAACTTGGAACCAAAGTTAACTTGGAACCAAATGTAACTTGGAACCAAAGTTAACTTGGAACTGAAACTAACTTGAAAATATTATTTACTTGGAACTAAATTTAACTTGAAACCAAAGTTAATTTGGAACCGAATTTTACTTGGAACCAAAGTTAACTTGAAACCAATATTAACTTGGAACAAAAGTTAACTTGAAACCAAAATTAACTTGGAACCAAAGTTAACTTGAAACCAATATTAACTTGGAACAAAAGTTAACTTGAAACCAAAATTAACTTGGAACCAAAGTTAACTTGAAACCAAAATTAACTTGGAACCAAATGTAACTTGGAACCAAAGTTAACTTGGATCCAAAATCAACTTGAATCCAAAAATTACTTAGATCCAAAATCAACTTGGTACCAGATTAACTTGAGACCAAACTAACTTGTAATTAAAATCAACTTAAAATCGCAATTGACTTAAATATAAAATTAACTTGGTACCAAAATTAATTAACTAAAATGTGATTTAAAATAAAGTTGGAACCAAAATTTATCTTATATTTCCAAATTATATTGGTATACCAGTATACAGTTGAATTCGAATTAATTTACAACTAAATTTAACTTGGATCGTAATTTTAATTAGAATCTAAATAAAATTGGAACCAACAATAATTTGAAAACAATATTAATTTGGTACTAAAGTTAACTTGGATCCAAATTTTGCTTTAATCCAAATGTTAACTTGGAATTGAATTAACACTGAATCAAACTAATCTTGAACCTAAAATTATAATTTAGGGACTGAATAAACTTAGAACCAAATTAACTTGGAACCAAAGTTAACATGGGACGTAATTAACTTTGAACCAAAATTAACTTGGAACCAAAATTATCTTGGAACCAACATTATTTTAAAACCGAAGTTAACTTGGAACCAAATTAACTTGGAACCGAAAATAACTTGGAGCCTAGAATTAATTTGGATATAAAATTAAATTAGCACCAAGGGGAACTTGAAACCGAATAAACTTGGAACCAAATTTAACATGGATCCAAAATTAACTTGACACAAAAATAACTAGGAACCAAATAAACTTGGAACCGAAGTTAACCTGAAACCAAATTAACGTGAAATCGAAGTTAACTAAGAACCAAAATTAACTTGAAATTAAAGTCAATTTGATACCAAAATTAACTTGGAATCAAAGTTAACTTGAAACCAAATTTAATTTAGAACCAAACTTAACTTGGAACCAAAATTACCTTGAAGCCAAATTAACTTTGAACCAAAATTAACTTGAAACCAAAATAACTTGGAACCAAAGTTAACTTGGAACCAAAATGAAGTTGAAACCGAAATTAACTTGGAACTAAATTAATTTAGAACAAAATTAACTCTGAAAAAAATTCCAAAGTGCAAATACATTGACTATTAAATTAATACCTTTTTTGAAAATTTGTCTAAATTAAAATTTTCCTTCTAAAAACAGTAACAATTGAAACCATTTTAATATCGTAAAGATTAAATTTCCCATTTTTCAACTCGAATTCTTGAATAATAATAATTCCCCTTTATAAATTCAACTCCTTGAGATAAAAAAAAGGAAAAGAAAAAAAAGGAGATAAAAATAATACAAAGAAAAATGCCTAGGAATGCATGCAGACTCATCTTCCATTTTTCCTTCCACATTCTTTTGCTCTCATCATCTAGCTAAACATGCGACCCCGCGAATCTCTTGAATCTCGCGACTCTCCCGATGCACATTGCAGGATGATATATAGAAGAAAAATACAGCGCGATGCACGCGACGTTCTCGGACAAGTTCGTATCGGTTCGTACATATTCGTACACGTTCGTGATTCTACGTAAATTGAAAAGAAGGGGAGTCCCCACCTGTTTTAGGCTTTTAGTATACAACACACTGGAGAAGAGAGCGAATAAACTAATGGTGGGGATTCCAGCGAGTTCCGCGCCGCGTTCAAATGTTAGTCGGCCGTCGGAGAGAGTGGTCGTGCGTGAGAATTCTCTCGCGCGTACAAATAAACGTGTGTTTATTTCCTTTCTCGGTGTTCTCTCACTAACTCGGAATTTAAAAAAGAAAAAAAGTCTCAAAAAGTGAAAAAATCCCTTTTTTTACCTTCGAAAAAAAATGTTTTTGAGTAAAAAAAATATCAATGACAAGTGACGTGGTGTTTCTCGGTGCATAAAAAAACAATTGTGTCTATTGTTTTTTTTGGGAGAAAAATTAAAAAGAAAAGGATCGAAAGTTGTACTTAGTGTGAAGGGTGTATTTTTTTATTCCCCGACAACGACGACGACAACAAAATTCCTTTTTGGATTATTGTTCTTTTTTTTAATGGTATTTTAAATGATTTTGAGTGAAAAGTTTTATTGAAAAATTGAAGAAGAAAAAAAGTGAATTTATTTCTTGGAAAATGACAGCGGACGGTCTTTTTGAGACTACCAGCATCCCAGGGCATCTCGCTCCCACGCCAGAGAGACTGGAGAGGCTCCTCTCAAAACAGACCCTCGAGGAACTCTACGAAGTTGAGGAACAACCTTTCGCACGGTACGGATATATCTTTATTTTTTTCTCCACCAATTTCTCTTCTCCTTCGCAAATACATAGTAACCTTGACGAGTCTCCCGTGACGAAAATTACAATTTTTTTTTGGGTTCCAAAAAAAAAAGAAAATATTGGGTTCGAGGGAAAAAAGTTTTGGAGTTGTCTTTGTAGTTCTTCTTGGTATTTTTTGTCATTTCTTCTTATAATTTTAATTTATAGAAGAAACGATGAAAGCAAATCATAAATTTTAGTTATTTACTTTTTGGATTAAAGAAACTTTTCTATTAAAAATTGAAAACAACAGAATTAATTTGGAATTAGAATTTTACTTTGAAACAAGAATTAACTTGGAATCAAAACTACCTTAAAACTAAACATAATATGAAAAACCAAAAAACTGGAACCATAATTAACTTGGAACCAAATTAACTTGGAACCGAAGTTGACTTAACGCAAAATTAACTTGAAAGAAAATTAACTCAGAACCAAAATAAATTTGAAAGTAAAATTAACTTGGAAACAAACTAACTTGAAGCCAAATTAACTTGGAACCAAAATTAACTTGAAGCCAAATTAACTTGGAACCGAAGTTAACTTAAAACCAAATTAACTTGGAACCGAAATTAACTTTGATCCAAAATTAACTTATAAACTAAGGAAATTTGAAACTAAATTAATTTTGCTCCAAAAATTAACTTAGAATCAAATTAACTCGAAAAAAATTAACTTCGAACCAAAGTTACCTTGTTTCAAAGTTAAAATTTCGTTAAAGTTGAAGAATCGTGAACGATTTATAACTTTTAAAAATATTTAATTCACGTTTCTGATTTAAAATTCAAAATAGTAACTTTTGAAAATAATTTAAAATAAAATAATAGTTTAGAATTTTTGGAGATTAGAAAAATGGTGTTTCCTTTAAAGAAAAACACGTGGTTCGAAAAGTTAATGTAATTGTCAATTTTAACTTATGCAACAAACATTGTGAAGAACTGAATTTTCAAATATTCGATGAATAATATTTATGAAATAGAAAATCATTAAATTTGGGAAAATATTCACAAAATTTGAAATTTAAATACTAAATACATAATTTAACAAACAATTAAACATGATAATATAATGAGTTAACTAATGAGATATAGCTTTTCTTTGTACTTTTTATTTGACTCCAAACAGGAGCGCACTTGAATCAATAAAATTATCAAAGCAATGTGTACTAACACATAAATTGGAAATTGTCGAAAAAAATGCTATTGGTTGAAAAACTCTTCTATTATAATTTACAAAATAGAAATTTTTTCAAATTTGAAAATGTTAATAATTTTTATTTTCAATTTTGTGGTTGAAATATAAATTTTAAAAATTCTGAAAGAAATTAATTATGAAAACAAATGATGTTCGAATAATAGTAAAATAATTACTTACTTTGTGTTCTCGTTAATGGTAAAAATATATATCACCAGTTTATCAAATATTCAAATTATTACCTTCATTCATGTTTCACCTTTTTATCGGAAATATTTTCCATTGTTAGATACACTTGTATTTAACAGTTAACTGACAGGTTCGATAACCCTGAGGGGAAAAAAGGCGATATACCTTGAAAGTCAATTTTGTTTAAATATTTCTTCATTTTTTTCTAATTGTTATAAAAAGAAAAGAGTTTAAACAAAAAATTGTTTGCTTTACAAATTGTTAAAAAATTACGTAGTTAAAATTCGTGACGTTTATGATCGACGATTAAAACAAGTTTTTAATTTTGATAAAAAAAACAACAAATTTTATGACTTCACAATTTATTTCTAGATCAAAAAACTGTATGAAAATGTTTTTTTTTACAAATTATATTAATGAGCGTGAAAGCAAAATTAGTTTGAGAGCGAAATTAACTTGAAAACAAAACTAACTTGGAACCAAATTAACTTGGAACCGAAATTAACTTGAAACCAAAATTAAATAGGAAACAAATTAACTTGGAACCGAAATTAACTTGAAACCAAAATTAACTAGGAATCAAATTAACTTGAAGCCAAAATTAACTTGGAACCAAAATTAACTTGAAACAAAAATTAACTAGGAATCAAATTAACTTGGAACCAAAATTAACTTGGAACCGAAGTTAACTTGAAACCAAATTTAACTTGGAACCAAAATTAACTTGGGACCAAATTTAACAAGAAATCAAATTAACTCGGAGCCAAAATATACTTGGAACCAAAAGTAACTTGGAAATAAAGTTAATTTGAAACCAAAGTGATTTGGAACCGAAGTTAACTTGAAACCAAAGTTAACTTGAAACCAAATTTTACGTTGATCGAAAGTTAATTTGTATAGAAAATTAACTTAGAAACAAAAAAACACGCAACAAAAATTATTTTTGAACGCTATGAATTTTACAAAAATAAAAATTATCATAAAATCATCAGTAAAGAAATATAATTATAACAATGAACTGCCACAACTATTAAATAACAAAAAGAGTTTATTTCCCCTCTTCACTTTTAATTATTAAAATTTAAACAATTGTAGTGATAATTTTTTTCTCTCATCATTTTTCCGTTCTACTTTGTATTGTTTTTAAAGATAAATGAATGAAAAATAATCCTTATCGAGTTTCAGTCGATTTGTCGCTTTCTCCATTTGCAAAGCGCGGAATTGCGTTTCTGAAGCTCCACCGTTGGTCCTTTCGGACACACTTTACACACTGTAGAAAGAAAGTTTCCAAAGTTATCGAGGTCGCTGCGGGTACTCTTTATGACCTTAAGTCTTTGCGGGCTCTCTCCAAAAAAAAAAAGAAAGACGAAAGAAAGAGAAAAATTTGAACACTTCTCTTTTTTTCTTGACCGACGGACCTTCAAAAATGCGCAAGGTCGTGACTAGTTCCATTTCAAATCACCTTTACGTTCCTTTTGTATATTGTGCAATTGACTCGTAACAGATTCTCTTGCCAGATTCCTAAACTATTTAAATATCAAGGAGCACACACTTTTCCCCACGCACACAATCACAAGTTAAGTAATTGTATTTATTTATTTACTGTTAAATAACAACCCGAGAAACGTAATATTATTTCTTATTCAGAAAAAAAATGTATTAAACATTTTTTTTATCGCACTGAAATGATTTTTGAATGAATGATTCGAGTTAATTTCTATTGTGTTTACAATTGATGGGCATAAAAATTCGATGCTCTACTTGAAAAGGGAAGTTGCGGTTGGGACAAATAAAACTTTGGACCTTGATATTTTTTTCGTTTCTCTTTTTTTTGGCTCTTAAAGCGAGAAAATGATTGTTTGGTAATGTTCTCAGAGATCATTTACGGGCAATTTGCCTGACAGAATTCAGAAGGTTGTATTACGGTTAAATCGTCACGATCAGGCGCATTTATCCTCGATTTGCTTCAGTGCTATTTTCATTTGAGAGTCGATCTTTTTCTCTTTTAAATGTGAATCTTGTGGAAAAATATTTTTGCAAAACGGCATTTCTTGTTTTGCGCCACAATCGAATTATTCCAATCACGTTCTTTACATTCGTTCGCTAAATGCTTTTAATAATATCAAAATTTTTATTTCGATTCAAAAATTTAATTTAGAACCACTGACAATTTAAGACTAAAGTTAACTTGGAAACCAAATTTACTTGGAACCAAACTTAACTTGGAACAAAATTTACTTGGAACCAAAATTAACTTGGAGCCGAAATTAACTTGCTACCAAAATTAACTTGGTACCAAAATTAACTTGGTACCAAAATTAACTTGGAACCGAAATTAACATGAAACCAAATTAACTTGGAACCAAACTTAACTTGGAACAAAATTTACTTGGAACCAAAATTAACTTGGAGCCGAAATTAACTTGCTACCAAAATTAACTTGGTACCAAAATTAACTTGGTACCAAAATTAACTTGGAACCGAAATTAACATGAAACCAAATTAACTTGGAACCAAAATTAACTTGAAACCAAATTAACTTGGAACCAAAATTAACTTGCTACCAAAATTAACTTGGTACCAAAATTAACTTGGAACCGAAGTTAACTTGAAAACAAATTAAGTTGGAACCAAATTAACTTGGAACCGAAAATAACTTGGAACCGAAGTTAATTTAACAACCAAATGAACTTGGAACCAAACTAAATTGGAACCGAAATTAACTTGTAACCATAATTAACTTGAAACCAAAATAAACTTGGAACCAAAATTAACTTAGAGCTTAAATTAACTTGCAAACAAAGTTCACTCGGAGGCAAGATTCATTTCTAAATAAAATAGTATCGAAACATAATAATTAAGACAATGGCTCTCGACAGATCTTGAAGACCTTACTCCAGTAAAATGTATATCACTTTATTTTTCCATTCGATAAATGATTTTCTCTCTTCTTTTTTTTCTCTTCCCGTTTGAAACTCACGCGCAGGCTGCAACACGAATCGTGATCAAATCGATCACTTATGCTGTGATCGTGATCGTCGGCTGCCAAAGATGCACGCGAGAGGCTTCACCGACTTTGGATCTCTGCTTTATGATTTGACTCTTCCTCATTCCGTTTATCGGATTTTCCTCGTTCTTCAATAAACTCCCTTCCTTTCGGTTGTAGAGTAGAAGGAATCCGCAGTTATATTGAGAATCGATCGTTGCCGAGGAAACGAGCCATCTCCCGTCATATCAAACTGGCTTCTACTCAACGTAATCATTGCAGTGTAATGTGCATGCCAACATTATCCTCACGCACCGTTGCACCATATATTCGCATACATATATGAATCTCCTTCCATTTTTCCGCATCGTCGACCATTGGTGCGGCAGTGGTTCTTACGAAATTTCATGCCAAAATTTACTTGGAACCAAATTTTACTTGGTACAAAGCTAACTAGGAACTAAAATTTAATTTGAAAATATTATTTACTTGGAACCGAATTAACTTGGAACCAAATTTAACTTGAATCCAAAATTAACTTGGAACCAAACGTAACTTGGAACTAAAGTTAACTTGGAACCGA